GGGGGGCCTAGTTGGAAGAACTGAACAATTATAGATCGGACAAGCTCCCCCTATCTCCGGCGAGGATAACATAACATGGTCTCCCACCGCGAGTTCAGGTGGGAGTCAAAGATTCTCAGCAGGCGTGCTCTAGATGCGTACTTGGTCATCAATTCGGCACAAGGCTGATAGATTCTCAAGGTAAGGATCTAGCAACGCATCTGAAGAGTCAAACAAGTCCTGAAAATACGCGGTGGCGTCTCCCAGCCAGGAGAGGTCGCCCCATATTTCCGGCTGATGTGGTTCCGCGAGCAAGATGCCTGCTAGCCCGCAGGTTCTCGTCGTGACGTGGGGGAAGTAGCTCTGCCAGTCGACACCATGGGGCCAGTTCAGGTCCGAAAGACTTGAAGTCGCAGTGTTTCCTGTTGTGCGCGGCGCTTGCGGATTCGATGCTGCGCCCCCGTCATGCCTCGCCCCAATGCTTTCGAATGCGCGCAGGCGGTCAAATCCCTTGACGAAAATGGCAGTCGAGGGCCACAGGCCCGCCAACTCGTTCAAGGCGAGTCTCAAGATGCGAATGTCCTCGGCTCCGCTTTCCGCCAGGCACTCGATCCGCTGGGTCTGTAAGAGCGCTATGATGGCTACTCCCACGTACCAGCATGCGATGGCGCCCAGAAACCGAATTTCCCCGCGAGCGAGGAAGTCCCTGAAGATGCGAGTGACACACGATGCCGACAATACCGCAGCTGTGTACGCTTCAGGCCAGGGCTGTGAAGGATGCTGCGATGACCAGTTCAGGTGGAGAATGGTGACGGTAGTCAGATAAGGCAGGTGTAGCTTTAACACATCGCGATTAAATTTTCGTGCTCGATTGGCCATGTCTGGTAGTTCTAGGTGGCTGGGGAGGCTGTGGGCCCAACCAATGAGTTCCTCTGCCAAAGTTGTTGGAAACAGCGCCTGTTCCAGGTTGCGTGAGAGATGTTGGCTGACGCGACCAATGATGCCACAGAGTCTGACCCAATAAATGAAGACTTCCGCTCTTGGGTCTTCAGATGAGCCAAAATCCTCGAGCGACACCTCGCGAACATTGCAATCTTCGGGGTTGATGGTGAGAGGTCGTCCTTGGCACATTGCTGTCAATCGTTCTCGGGCCTGCATTCATCTTTAGTCCAGGCAGTCTACCTGCCCGGGCAGGTCAACTCACAAACAATGTCCACCAGATCCTCCTTCTCAGCCCTTGCACTGCATCTCCTCCCACATCGCGGACATTCTTTGGCTTGCGATGCAGACCCATTTGTTGCGCGTATTTGATTGCGATCCCAGTCCACCACCAAGCCGCATCTTTATGAACAAGCGCGGGACTAGTGGTTTGCGAGAATATTGTTACTGACCCATGAACATACAACGTTGCAAGCAAGGAAAGTTAAAACGAGACAAAACATATCTCAACAAAATGCATGTGGAGGATTTCTGGGGGGAAAAGTGTCGGTGAAAGGTTCGAATAATCTTGTGAAATCGGAAGCGGGCCCAAAGAGGAGTGGTTTTCTGGAAAAAGGGGTTGTGTCCGGCGGAAACAAAACAAGGCGTTACAGACTCACCCACGCGGAGCCCACCAGTAGAATAACATGATAGACTGCAGGCAAACAATGGGATTATTCTCCTGGTCTGTGTAGAAAAGAATCTTTGCTCGGTTGTAATACTCAGCAGCTTTTGCGTGCCGCATGATTGGAGGCCGTACTTGGGTTCCCAAAAGGGCCAAGGCATTGATCAGAAGGGGAGACGGAGAGAGGTCAAGGTCATTCCACAAGACAGCCTTGTCGAGGATCGGGCACCAGGGCCAACAGTACTCGAAATACGTGTCGACAAAGCTTTGCTGCAGTTCCAGCGGTGGGAGGTCGGCATCAGCCAGTGAGAAGTGAGTGCTGCCTCTTTGCTCATTGGATGCAATTCCTCGATAGTCAGGTTCGAATAAATTTAGGATTCCACTGTTACCGAAATAGCCCATTGTTGTCGTATAAGGGATGGTAGACGAGATTTCTGGTGGGTTGTTGCCAGAGGGCAATGCCGGTTGCTGGAGAGAGCCTCGCTCGTCAAGTTCGGGCGGTGGCAGGGCACTCTCAGCCGCGGATTGGCTATGTTGAGAGTTGGGAATATCCACAGTCGAGTCGGGTCGATGAACAGGCGCCTGTTGTTGAAGTGGTTGAGGCACCGTCTCTATGCGGATGGACTGATCATTCAACGCTGGCCGAATTGGGGCGTATGTGTTTCCGTGAACTGCCCCAGAAGCTTTGCGAGCAGCATTGGTATTTCCCTTGCGGCGTTTTGGAGTCCGCGGTCTAGAGCCATCAGCTCGGGCTTTACTGCCTCAAGTGCATCATGCAGAGATGTCAACTCACTCGCAGAACCTCGACGCCTCTGCGCAGTTCCCACAACTATCTAATCCCTCTTTGGACCGGGTCTCCAGATCGCATCTCATCTGAAGCCAAATCAGCGAACTGCTCCACGTGTCAGGTTTAGCCGGGTTCGAAAACCATCTAACCTTGCGGTCATGGCATTGTAGGCAGACAAGACGAGCGCGCCCTTTGTGGGCGTGAGATTGTCCCGAGACCATCGTGGCGCTATGTTATTGCCGGTACTCTTTCCACAATCAAGGGACGCTCAGTTGCCGTCGCGGCTCAATGGCGTGTGAGTAGCAGAAATAGGGAAGCAGGAAGGACGTGAAATGCCGTGCCGGCAGACGAAATTGCCGGCAAAGTTCTTCGACCGGCTAGACTAGCCGTATTTGGATAGATCGATGTGGAGCACACGCGGAGAGGGGAAGGGAGCCACAGCCTCGCGAGAGGAATGACCTTCAATTGTGGATAGTATTGACCAGGCAATTCTTTTACTACAACCCCAGGCTGCGAAGTTGTTCGATGACTCTCCCTGGGACCTCGAAGGAGCCCTTTGTTCTCGTTCTCCTGCGCGATTCACTGCTTCGCTCAAATGGCATCCTGGCTGGCCCTTCGCCGGGTAGCATCTTGGTTGACCTGATCGAATTGGACAATTTTTCCGCGTCCTGCTTGACTCTATCCAGCGACTGCAGAATACTTGGGTCAAAAGCCATGATCAGGAAACCAAAGTCCGACAGGAACGGGGTCGGTTCAGTGCTCCCTGCCGCGATGCCTAACAGCTGCACCATGATAGCCAGTCCGCTTCCCTTGTACCCGCCCCAAACAGTCAATGCGCCATTCAAGACCTGGAGCGGATCTGTTGTAGGCTTTCCGCCACTGTCATTTGCAGATCCTTTTGGCAGCGGAACCCCGAGTCTCTCTGCCAGCTTCACTTGTGCGTACATAATGTTGCTTGTACCAATGTCCCAGATCACAGGTTTGTCAGGCTCATTGGTAGGAAATCCAATGCAGAAAGGGTTGGTGCAGAATTTTGGCTGGTATCCTCCATAAGGTGCGACAATAGGGGTGCCGTTCGACGCAATAAATACTATTAAATCTTCACGTGTGGCCATCTCAGCGTAATATGCCAGATTCCCGGTATACCATAGTCCGTTTGCTCCGACCACGGATACGCCAGCACACTTTGCTTTCTCAATGGCGAGCTTAGCGGCCTGGTGTGCCACCAGATAGCCAACGGAATCATGGCCATCGAGGTGGGCGTACGTTGATCCTGTGCGGGTCACTTCAATCTCTTGATCTGCTTTCATGCCCGCACTCTTGAGAAATTCGATAACACTCAACGCTCGAGCTAATCCAGCAAATGGGTGACCCCGGAGCTCAGCGTCGACCAAATGATCTGTGATTATCGCCGCTTGTTCACTGAGATAGCCTGCCTTTTGGAGGGCATTCTGGCACAATTCTGTAGCTTCCGTGATAGTAATTTGAATTTCCTCAGCGTCATCGGGTATGTTCTTGTGTTGTTCGGGCTGAGTATCCTTCTCTACCTCAGTCGACATGCTGAGAGAGTATTGATTGAAGTATAGAAAGGGTGAGAGAGTTCGAGGCTTGGGCAAACATAAGGATTGTGAACCCAGGTCTCCGACTTGGGATTTCGATTGAACGAGTTGCCATAGTGTTCAAGCAAAAGAGCTTTCATGTCGAGAGTCGCACTACTGTGTCAGCATAAGTATCTCCCCTACACATCGGATCAAGTAGCTCAATGGTGCAAACTGGCAAGCGCAGACCGTGATCGTTGCCTATTGGGTCTGGAAGCCGGCAAGATTCTGCCAATAGGGTAGTTCGGATCGACGGTCCCAATGAGTAGTGCCGTTCGGACCGATAGGCTGGCACTCTCCTCGTAAAGTGTCTCGGAGACCGTACTTCGACCTCGCCTTTCCATATAGGTGGTATTGCAGTCTTCAAAGTATCTCGCAGAGATTGGGTGCTTTGCCAGCGTTTTGCAGATGCCGCAATTTCTCCCCATAAGCGGCATTCCCAAGAGTGCTGCGCCATTCCTTAAAATCCGTTGCCTCCCTCACAATTATGATTTGCACAGTTGCTACTAGGGAATCACAAAATGGGCACGGTAACCGCAGATGGCACTTCCACGGCGGCAAAGCCAGTCTTAAACATTCCCTTGTCATCGACATCACTTACAGTCAAAGTCATCGATGTGGCGAACATCTCCAATGTCCCGGCAAGCGCACTCTTCACGCCTCCAGTGCCAGGTTACACAACGGCGGCGCCCGCTCCATCGTTTGTCTTTCTCCTAGAACATCCATCGGGCCAGAAAGTTTTGTTTGATCTTGGCATTCGCAAAGACTGGGAAAATCTCTCCCCAGCGACTGTCGAGCGGTTCAACAAGTTGGGCCACAAGCCGAGTGCGGAGAAAAACATCTCAGAAGTTTTGGATGAGGCTGGCGTGGGCAAACAGAGTATTAACGCTGTCATTTGGAGGCGAGTTTGATGCGAGCGCCCTTGGAAGGTGCTCTTCCCTTGGAACTTGAACTGTCTCTTGCTATGCTCCATAACTTATGCTGATGTGTATATTACACCACCAGTCATGCCCACTGGGACCATATGGGCGACATGTCAACATTTGGCCCGGCAACGGACCTCGTCGTTGGGCCGGGTTTCAAGGAACATTTCCTCGGCGACGGGGGGGGCAATTCAGCGCTGGGAGGAGTGCTTCCAAGCGATGTAGAGTAAGTCTCAGTGCCCATTTCCAAGCAAAGGCCCTTCCCAGAGCTACAAATCCCCCCCTCCCTTCCTGGGGGGAGGAAAAGACAAGAATAAACCTCGATGCGTCATTTCTTTGATCTTTGATCCCCTTTCCGATTTCGTACTCGAGGCACCAGGCTGATCACCGATCCTGTTCCGTTAGAGGCCGAACAGTCCGAGAAATTACATTCACCTCTGATGTTGTGGAAATCGGAAAGTTTCTAGCGCATGATTACTTCCACGACGGATCGCTGTATCTGCTAGACAGCCCAGGCCACTGCGTGGGACATTTATGCGCATTAGTCCGCACCACCAGCAGTCCCGACACATATGTGTTTCTAGGTGGCGACGCCGCCCACCACTGTGGCGAGTTCCGTCCGTCGGCGTACGTGCCCATGCCCGAGGCCATCACGCCAAACCCTGTGACTCTGCAAGACAGAAACATTCCATTCTGCCCTGGCGCGTGGTTTGAGGATCTCCAGACGTCGCGGAGTCGGGACCCCAAGGAGCCTCTGTGGCAGCCGGCCTTTGGGCACAACATGGATGATGTCCTCACCACAATCGCGCACATGCAGGAATATGATGGCGACGATAGCATTTTTGTAATCCTCGCGCATGATCCCGCGCTCAGAAGCCCCGGTGTGCCGTTCTTCCCAGAATCCATAAATGACTGGAAGGAGAGGGGGTTGGGAAAGGAGCTGAGGTGGGCCTGGATCGGAGACGTGATGAGGGCTTCGAAAGGGTAGTGTAAACAGCAACGTCTCCAGGATGGAGTATCAGGGTGAAGAGGCCTGAATCCAATGACCCATCCGGAGCAATGATGACTCTTCGGCGACGTTGTCACGCACAGCACTGCAAAAGGACTTACCTCAGATGGATCAAACAGGATCCATTCTGGAGGCTCGATGTATTGGTTCAGTAGAGTCCAACGTCTGCCATCCATCCTTCAGCCCACAGGGCCAGAAGGTGCCGCTATGGGCCGTTTGTAAATGGATAATAACTCACCGGACCATCGAGGCCGCTGACCGCCTGTAACGGGGTTTGAACGGAGTAGTGCGTCGCATGAAAAGCCTGGCGTCATTTTCGTACTGCTCGAGCGCCAGGAGAGGAGGTGAGAGGAGAGCGAGTCGCGAGGTAGTTTGAAAAGAGGTAAGGTTGGGCTGAGTCCTAAAGTGAGCGCCGAGCAGCGCTTACCCTGCTTGGGCTCACGGCTGGCAGGTCCATGCCTCTTTCAAATGTCAACGCATCAATGGAGGAGCCGAGATCAGGGGCGGTCTTCTGATTGTGGTATCATTTTGTACTGCTCGAGCGCCAGGAGAGGAGCATCGAGTACTCTGTATTCTTCAGGCGCCTCCCTGGCCTCTTTCCTCGTATCTCGTTCTATACATGTCTGCATCGACTTCGCCCCAGACCAAAATCTGGCGGGATTCAACTTGGTCCCAATTTCCTTCTTGAGTGGAGAGTCGCTCATTGGGATGGAGCGGCGTTTGTCCCCAACCCCAAGGCTGCCAACATGGTAGATCTGGTATCAGGTACATCACGTCGGCCTGTCGACTGTCTTCCCCCTAGATATCGTCGCACTGTTCCTCAAACGTAGAGACAGCATCCATCCAAGACGTGAGAATGCCCATTCTCTTGCGCAAACAATCTAGCGTAGACACACACCCGTGATATAGTACAATCCATTTTACAGTAAATTCCCATCCAACGCCGTTCGCTATGCATGAGAATCAATCGTCGAAGAGGTTCGAAAAAAAAAGGTGGTGTATGCCGAGCGGCCATCCAGTCTCGTTACCGTCCTTTGGAGACGGTCAGCCACAGAGAGATCAAGTTTTGTATATCTTGGGTCTCCAACCTTCTTTGATTTCTTTTTCCATTTGGGCCTTCCGCTCGGCGGCGCGAGCTTCCATCTCTATCCGTTCTCTGGCACGAAGAATCTTGCTCTGGAGGTAGAAGGATCCACCACCGCCTTTCTTTGGCTCGTTCAGATCATACAACTTCTTAAACCGCTCCATGACCTGTTCCATATTGGTGGCGCCACCTTGGGGAGGCTTGACGTTGAGGATTTTGCAGGCTTCGTCGAGGGTCATGCCAGAGGCGGCAGCGGTGTTGACGGCGCCCGGGTCACTTTTCGCAGCGGCCCTCGCATATTGCGTCGATGCCTGGGCCTGCTTGTATGCCTCTGCAAATGCCCTGCCAAAGACACGCCCGCCGGTCAGGACAATCTGGGCAATGATTCGATGCGCCTGCGGTGGTCAGTCCTGTCAGTCTGGTGTTGCAGAAAATGGATGGCGGGAGGGAGTTGAAAACAAGAGACACGTACCATTGACTCCTGTCAGCGAAGCAACAAGATCGAAGTGGCTGATAGCCGCGCGGATGTTGGCAATGGCCGAGTGTGTTCTTTGATTCTTCGGGAGACAGAAGCTGCAGGAAATCTTTTGCTGATCGCCATTCCCGTCCGGCGAATCTTCGGCTAAATGTGCTCGGCGAGTCGGCTCGTTTCGGTTTCGCATGGAGTCACGTGTGGAATAAGTTATGGATCAGCGAGCAGCCGCGATCATCATGTCTCTGCCTGCGCCTGCGCTGTGCACATGCCTGAGCCGCTGTCCACGAGACCCAAACCTCAAAAAAATCCCCGGACAATCAATATCTGCTCTCGTCAAGCATGTCTATAACATCTATCAAGTATTGTTGCAATCCTGCACCACAACTCTTTGCAACTCCCATCAGACTATTCTCACCTGAGTCTTTCCGTCTCCGCACTGGTGGCGTCATCTGTTTAGGCACTGGGTACTATTCCGTGGGCGTCATCCTCATGACCCAGACTTGCTCGGTGTATGGCAGCATTTGGTACACATTGGTCTCTATCCGACCTTCCGCTTCAAATGTACTGACAATTGTCCAGAAACTCCCTGGATCACCTCAATGTCAAGACAGTCCTCATATGCACCTCCGTCTGATTCCTCGTCCCAGCAGGCCTGGGACCAAATCCCCCCCACATATGCTGCCTTCTCCCCAACATCCACCTCTGGCTACTCCGCTACATCGAAGCAGCGGTCTACGATAATAGTCCACAAAAAGTCGCCCTTGCTAGTAGCGACACCACCTCAGATCACTCGAGCCCTAGCCCATTCACATCCCTTCCTCCTGCCACTAAACAAGCTCGCCGGTCTTCTCTCATGGAGCACCCAGGATCCTTGGGAATCATATTTGATGGTGGCTGTCTTCTGGGGAATCACACTATATGGGAGTGAGATTATTCGCTTCGCAAGCCCCATTATTGTCGTAGTTGGTCTCATATTGGGAATGTACTCCAGACGCTACTCGCCTCTGTCGTCCACCACCAAAACCGGAGAGAAACATTCGGCAAAAGGCCACAAGAGAGAACCTTCGGAATCCCAATCCCACCATAAGACCCTCGATGAGATTGTTGAGACGCTACAAGAATTGACTGCCCGATGCAATGTCCTGTTGGATCCCTTCCTCATCCTGACCGATTTTCTCTCTACCCAGACCACACCAACTGCCGCTACGACTCGACCAGCATTGACGACTCTCTTCATCCGTGTTCTTTTAGTAACCCCCTTTTGGATTATCCTGACTCTTCCACCTTTCTATATTCTGACTCCTCGAAGAGTCATTCTCGCTGTTGGCACAATAATTTTGACCTGGCATTCCAAGCCGGCCAGGGTGTCTCGGGTTATCCTCTGGCGTTCTGTATTCATGCGCAAAGCGGCCGCATTCGTCACTGGGCTGGAGTTTGATACTTCGCCGAATGCGAAGTCTGGACTGTCACTTCGACCGTCAATTGGATTCCGGTCGAAATCTCAAAGCGACCTCGCTACAGAAGCCGCAAACAAGCGGAAGCCCGACTCTTCTGGCGTTCGTTTCACGTTTATATTATATGAGAACCAACGGCGGTGGTTGGGTCTTGGGTGGACGACTTCTTTGTTTGCATACGAGCGGGGCCCTTGGACGGATGAACATCTGAACCCTGCACCATCAAAGGAGGAGTTCGAACTGCCGGATGTGGAAGGCGGTCTGTCACGGTGGAGATGGATCGACTCTGAATGGCGAATAGAGCACGGAGATGCCAAATCACACAGGAGAGCGACAAGCGACACCAAAACAGGAGCAGCCGGCATCTCGGGTAAAGCGACCGCCGACGACGGTGGAGGCTGGATATATTACGACAACAGGTGGGAGGATGGAAGAAGAGAAGACGGGTGGGGTAGATATACGAGGAGACGCAAGTGGTACCGCGATGCAGAACTTGTCGAAGCGACGCCGAGTGTTGAAGAGACTCCGAGTGGTACTCCAGCACTACCTTTGTCTGACACAGAAGAGGACAAGGTGAGGAAAGCGAAAGAGTTTGCCAAGGGGGTAGGCCGGTCAGAAGACACGGCTACTGCGAACCCAACACCTCCCACGGAAAAGTCATCTGCACCAGACCCAAAAGCCAATGACGCCAACAGCACCGTCAAATCTCCTGCGGTAAAGAAGCCAGGCAGCTGGTTCTCGAAGAGAGACCGGAGTGATAGTAAGAGCTCCAGTGGGAAGAATACAGGCCAGTTCAGCACACGGAGTGATCGGAGTCGTGATGGACCAGAGGACGACGTGCTGGATAAATGGCGAGATGCTTCTGGGCACAGAGCATTCAGTGTGCAAGAGGACGTTGCTATGAGTCTTGGATAGTAATGCCTCAGGTGTGTTATGGAAATATGATACCACGGTCGATGGCCACACTACTAAGTCCACCACCCAGGCAATGTAACACCCTAGCGTTGCAACACGCGATTTTACAACTGTTGCAACAGAACAAGTCTCAATTACTCAACTAGCACTATCGTTGACATGGAACACGTTCATAAACGCCGCAATTGGGTCGTTTGAGGTGCTATTCCTGTTGTTTGTAGACTGCCTAGTCCTCCTAGTCGCTGTCGTCGTCGCCGCCAACGTGGCCAATGCCTCTTTGGCCGCCTGTATACTCTCGATGCTAGCAAAGGTCTCGTTGGCATCAATTGCCTTACCCTTTTGCCTCTGGGCCTTCGATCGCTCTAGTTGAGCCTTTAGACTAGCGATTTGCCGATCCTTCTGTTGATTATTCCACCGTAAACGATCGAGTTCTTTGCCGGTCTTACCCAGGAACCTGCGGAGTGGTCTTGAGATCGTTTCCTCTTGTCTAGCCCTGTTCATTGAATCGTCATAAATTCGTCTATTGACTGGCGTAGAATAGACATTATCCTCGAAGGCTTTTCGCTTACGAGAAGGCGGTGTTCGTGGCGTAATCTGAGCGATTGCGGCGTCCTTGAGGACTAGGCTAGATCGAATAGCATTCCGTAGATTCCATGGATAGATACCACTGGCCTTCCAGCCAGACTTAATATTGGCGACACTGAGACCTTCCTAGCTAGCCTTCTGATAGATCTATAAGAACCTAGTCTTCTTAACTAGGCTTACATCGTCGAATCTAGCTAGATCAGCGATCTGCGCTCGATAACGGGACTTAACAGGCGAAAAACAGGTAAGATTAAGTGGTTGAAGGACGTGGCTTGAGTGCGGTAGAAGGTAATACACAACGATGTTATTCTGGTGGCATTTCCACATAAATTCATGCGTAACGTGACTCTTATGGCCATCCAGTAGTAGTAGTCGATACTCGCCGCGAGCAGTGCCTTCTATCGTCGTTTAAGGAATGAATATCTAGTCTAGCCAGCGCAGACCGATCTCGTTTAATGTCCAGCCATTTAGCGAGGTTGTGTATAGATAGTCAGGACTAGAATCGTCAAACCAAGTGGTCTGTAGCGCTTTACCTTTGAAGATAACTAGCGCCCTAATCCGCTTGCCAGTGGCTGAGACCCCCTCGACCAGCGTTACTCATTCACGCGTCTCAGGCGATTTTTGCGTACTACTAGTAGTAGCCGATGTTCCAATAACGATTTAATTACTGCAAACGCCTAGAGCCAGTCCAGATTCGTCCATGTTGAAGGTGTTCTATGGTAGGATCGAATATCGTACTTTAATCGATTGTAGACCGCGAAACCACCCCTCAAGTAGCTTAGGAAGTGTACAATTGACGCGCTTAATAGAGATCTTTCGGCCTATCTTTGAACGGATATCAGGATGTCGCTAGATAAACCGTGGTAGCCAGTTATGTCCGACCTGACTAGGGCCGCCAGACGACTCGCTAACTATCCCTGCGAGAACTCGCACAGCAGAATAGCTAGGCGCGTGTCCTTGAGCCTCTAGATTAAGTATCCATCTCTTTAACAGTTCCTCCTGTATATTCGACAATAACTGCTGTGGTTCGTGGGCGAGCGTGGCCGATTGAGTGCCTCTTAGTCTACGACTTAACGTGGCGTAGTTGACGTCGTTTGCGGCCGCAGCCGCGCGAATTGAGGGATATTTGCGTGTTTCGAAGTCTTGGATAGCCTGTTGGATTCTGATCTCTCGATTTGAGGCCATTTACGCGTAATTAATGGTGAATTGGTTGAGTGGCAGTTGGATTGATTGAGATGGTCTGGTGGTGGGGTGGAATAAAACGCGTGTTGCAACGCTAGGGTGTTACATTGCCTGGGTGGTGGACTTAAGTAGTAGCTTTAAATGACGTTTCTCTGTCATTAATCTATCTTGCTTTTGCACGTCCAACAGCTGGATTACTCGGCGACTTGGGAACGGAAAACCTAATTGCCTGAGCTTTAGCAGAGCCTTTAGCAGAGCTCCTTGGGCTGCACAAGATCTTCGTGCTTCACGTCTAACATCACGCTGGCAGCCACAAATTCCGCCCCGAGAAAACGCATCCATCCCCATCCTCCTCGTGTCATGCAGGAGACTTTGGCCTAGCCAGATTAGGTAAAACGACGGGGGATATCCAGTGCTCAGCAGACCACGTCTCCATCATTGAGCAGAATACAAATACGCAGGTGATTACATCCAAACGTTTCGACGCCATCTATATCAGCCTTCTTCTTCCATCGATCTATCCTAACTATTACGTGATTTACACCCCGTTAATTAGAGATGACATCCAAATCAGTTTATGCCCAGAATGCGAAAGATTGGGAACCTTACCAGTCAGTGATCGCCACATCTCTATAGGGATGATAGGTTATCAGTCAAGGAGGTGCAGCAATGACTCGAGTCCAAATACAATTTTAAAGCGACATATGGACACTCCTTATGGCCAGTCTTGTGCCAACCATGGCTAGAGAGAAAATGTATAAACGCAAGATACGACTGTTGGGACTCGACAAAAGCCAGGAGAAGCACGAGCTATCAGAGATTTTGCCCCGAGAAGCCGAAAGAGCTACGGGGGTCAAAAGGTCGACATTTCTGCTTAGGGGACGCGTCGTCGATATCGATGACATTCGGCGGTATGTCAGGCGCAAGAAGATATCTTTTCATGAACCAGACGAGCTGCAGGCTCACGGAACTGCCATGTGCGCCAAAATGGACAGCCGGGCAATTGACTTGATATGCCGGACTCCGAATCCTAGTCCTTTGGCCTCCGATCCTGGCAGTATCTCTGACAGGACGGAACGCTCCTATCTGATATTTAACCAGTATCTGCACGGTTCTGTTGAGGTAGGTGCGCGGACCCCGTCGGATGACCCGGAGAGTTTGGGCGACAGCTTATCTACCGGTGAGATGTGGACGAACATTCTCGAGACCATCAACCTTCGAGCAGCCAGGTTTAACGACGGTGACTATCAGCAAGCAATATGGCAGTGGGGTCTAGCATTCACCCAGCTGGAGGTAGTAGTTTGCTCCCGGAACTACTACCAACTACTCAACCTCATCAGCAGAATCGGGCCCCTCACGAATTGCGACGCGGTCGTTGCAAGGATGCTACTCCGACACCTAGGTAAACTCGTTTCCGCCCTCTCTATAACTTGAATGGTCAGGGCACCAAGACGGAGCGGAGTACCTGTCTGACCTGCGCATCGAGCGACTACAGAACTTCACACAAAACGCGCCGATATGGTAGGTAAGCAGTTAAGAGCATGGGCGAATTTGGCAAGTGTTCAAAACTCCCTTTGGAAACACCACGAAGCTCGCCAGGCTTTTCTATTCGCCGTCAGTGCATACGAGAAGGAGTCGCGGTGGGAGCGCAATGACGACCAAAGGCACGATTAGTTAATGCTAAACCTGCTGAAAAGCTTGATGGGTTGAGAGTTGACGAAGGGGTTTGTTTGCGGAAGTGGAGGCACATAGTACGTAGCTTGCGATGCTAGTCAGTGCTTTGGATGAGCAAGGACTAAAGCAACTGGTCGATTAGGACTTGGTAGGGAATTGAATGAAACCAATTGTTTGGCAACGCTCCATCAGCGCGGAAAGTTGTGAGCATAGTCTTCGTAATGGTTGTTCAATAGTCAGAAGGCAGCACCACAGGAGGAGCCAAATTAAGCAGTCAGGGTAGATTGGAAGGGGCCCGGATTGAGAGACCCCCATCATCTTAATAAATGGATTCCGTTCTCTACAGATGGCCAAAGTTGACATTGTGAATGAAGAGGAAGAGAGGAAGCTGGATGACAGGTTTTTCTCATGATAATACATACCTCACTATCTTGCTATATACGTATATTAGCAGGTGGCCAGACAAAGCCAAAATAGATCACCACTGGTGCCACCAACCTAGCAGCTTCGACGTCACGGCTACAGGGATCATTCCTCTTCCCTCCACATTTTGTCCCGCCCTGCCACCTTGCAGTGCCGGTTCGTCTCTTCGTTTCACCATGACTAGTCTTTGCCTTCACTTGCTTTTCACAAATCCGGGTGTCTGGTGCCCTCCTCTGTCGCGTCCAAGCCACTCATTTTGCTTTCTCGCCCAACCAGCCACCTCGCGGCCATGGCCCTGGGACCCTTCACATAGCCTGACCCTTTAGAGGGGTCGAGGCTGACGTCAAGAAGAGGAGAGTGATGTGGCGAGGTGCCTGGCACAGAAGCAAGAGAAGGCGGAGGAGGAGACCACTTTGAGAGCAATGCTATATATAAGAATACTTCCCGTGTTCACTCCACAGGCTCATCCTCTTCTGCAAGCATTTTCATACGAATTATATTCAACGTTCTCATCACAACTGCAAGACAGCCCTTTGTTACGTAGGACATCTATAACTGTACATCATGGCTGAGGAACAGCAGAAGAAGCAAGGCGGTATGTTCTCCGTTGGAACTACTCAAGTCAACCCGCTCCTCGTCCCGGTTCGCCTCCCCTGGCCTACCCGTTGAAGCTTTCCCATTTCGTTCCCCCCTATGGCGCACAGATCAAACAACCCGACGAAGAGCAAGGCAGAGTCAAACCGACACTCACACACATACATAGTAGGAGGCATCCTTGGCGGCTTGACCGATACCGTCGGCAACACAGTGGGCGGCGTCACGGTGCGTACATGAACATCGCAGTTTGCCTGCCGCTCTCTTTCCCACAATCTCAAAGAATTCTCGCAGCTGGCTGACGTATTCAACGACGTGACCAGGACACTGTGGGCAACACCGTCTCCGGCGTGGGTGAGGGCGTCGGCAAGACCGTCGGCGGCGCCACTCAAGGCGTACGTCGTCACCCTCTTCTTCATCTCCCTCTCCCGCTGCTTCTTCTTTCTGTTTCTGCTTCTTCTGCGTCTTCTTCTTCAACAAGCCCGATGATGCTGACTGGGCTGGCCCATGTATCCAGCTGGGCGACACGACCAAGGCAGTAGGCAACACCGCCAAATCTACCACCGACTCGATCGGCGGCAAGAAGCAGACCGCGGATAACCCGCTAGGGCTGTAGGGGCCAAGTCACATCCGCACGCACAGCTTCGGGTATTATGGCTTGGATGAGAAAGCGGATGCGACGCATGATTTTGGAAGTTATCCAATGTATGTCACAGTCCACCGGGGCTTCGTGGACTATAAGAGTTCAGAACAAAGTTCCCCCATGGTTCCGGACATCGTCCGAATACTTGTGACTGTATAGTTTCTTCTTGTTTGACCTCGAATATGGTAGAGAGCTTGGGCAGTCAATGCAGGCTTTCCAATATTTCGTGTCGAATGAAAACGAACGACCAGTTATCAAACTCAAAAAGACCCAACCAAGCCTACCACCATAGTGGTCAGTCCTCCATGCCCAGCGCCGAGCTCTTTGCGACCAAAGGACATGCATGCAAACCCATATAATCATACCAAAATATCGTGAGACTTATGCCGTCTGTACGCTCACGATTATAGTTCAGGCACGTATTCGACCTCATATCCCTCCAAACAGATCAAGCCGAAGAATACCTCCCTTCTGCATCTCTTTCCCTTCCTTCCACCGTCATCGGTAGTGGTCTGCGTCGGCGCAGCGCTGGTGGCACTCGTGCTGAGTGTTGGCGCTCTCGTGATCGTATCTTGTCCTGTTGTCGAGACATCAACGGCACTGCTTGTAGCATGACGATGGTGGGATTTCGGCCGATCATAGCAGCCCCAGAAATAACCGGGTGTCTTGCAAGTATGCTTCTTGTGCGGTTCGGCCGTCCGTGTAGCACTTGGAGTCGATGACGTCGAGGGCGGGGATGGCTTATATGTAGTGGAGGTGGGATCACGGCATCCCCACCACCCTGGATGCTCACAGGTGGAAGATGATGGATCATGGGTGATGGAAGCGGGAACAGACGTTGTTGATGAAGTTGTCGTCGGCGCGAGTGTGGTAGTTGTTACAGTTATATTGACGTTCTCATTGCATCCGAACCAGCCAGGCGTGACACAGCTTGTCGTGGTGTAGGTTGTGGTTACTACCGGTACCGTTGAAGTCGTGGTCGCTGTCGAAGTCTCATCTAGACATCCCCACCAGCCAGGAGTTTTGCATGTACTCGTCCTCGTGTACGTTGCTGAGCTTGTGCTAGTTGTCCTAGTAGTCGTGGTCGAGTCCGATCCATTACTCTCGAAGAATTTCCAATTGAAGCAATCCACGCATTCATCGTCCGCTTCGCAAGTAGGGACAGTCTGGTATATCTTGATCACATTGTCGATGACGTTGTGGATCTTATGATTGCCTATCCCGACACGCCAGCCATAGTCACTCACAGTATCGTAAATGCATTGTTTCCCCGTATGGCATTGAGATTCCATAGCGTATCCGCCCAAAGTGCACGTCGCCGTGGCACCATTGCAGGTGCCCATAAATACTGGATCGGCGGTGTTTCCGAAGTGATATGCTCCTGTATATTTTGTACGAGGTCTATGGGGGTCTGATGACGGAGGGGCGGGAAGACCCAGGCGTTTCGCCGCTAGGTCGTCGCCAGGGGCTTCGAATGTTACCGTAGGCAGGCCGAATGTGAGACCGAGGAGGCTGGTTACCGCGCCGCCAAGGGAGTGACCAGCAAGCCAGACGTTGGAATCTGGATATAATTCCGTCACATTGGTGTACAAGTCAATTGCGGCTCGATAATATCGGTTCTCTTGTCGCAAGGCCTGGACCACACATGTCCGATTGCAAGTATATGTACCGGTCTGACAGTCACAGACTTGATGCCAGAAGTACGAGCCACCTTGAGCACAACAGCAAGAGAAGAACAAATTGTCGTTGAGTTTGTCCTTCGTAGTAGTTCCATCTCCGTCAAAGACTGCAGGAGAAGTCCCCTTCAGGCTGATGATGACAGTTTCATTGCCTTCGTTGGCAAATATATGTCCTCTCAGACCGTCTCCTTCCCATCCAAATGGCGTAGACCGGTTATAGCCTTGGCTGACATCTTCCCAGTCTCCCTCACCAGGGCCTGGATTATATGCATTGGCTGCCATGATTGCTAGGTTGAGGATGGTGGGTTTGTGTACGATATTGGGACCCTCGACCTCGTCCAGTGTCCACTGCGAGGCGTCAAGGACAGCCGGACTGCCAGTCAGACGTGCATGCTGGAGATGCCTTTCTATGCTCAGCGGTTCCCTGTCGACTAGTCGTTCAATCTCAACAGAGTCAGAACGGAGGGTAAAGTGTGGCGGCGGTTGGAGAGACGATGACAGGACATGGTCGTCTTCTTGGGTAAGGAGGACGGGCGCCTGTGGGCTGAAATCGTACCGTTTGTGCAAATCGGGGTCTCGATAAGTGCCTCGATGGAAAATGTGTCTTAATGTAAAGTCATGGGTGTCTGGCTGTTTCGGTGCTGGCACAGGGTACCAGGGATCGATGGCGGCGGGGAGTTTGGCCGCAGCGATAGAGGGTGCAAAAGCAAGGAAGGACAGCAGCATGCTGGCGGCCGTGATTCTGCTGTCTGAAGTGCAAATCCTATCTCTTGGTTTCCGAGTCTTCATATTGCATGTGCTGATTGATGGCAGGGAAGATGGGAGCGATGGAGTGAATGACTGTTGACTGAAATGGCTCGGGGTCTCGTGGATGGCGCAGACGGCAAGACGGGTCTGGAAGGGACAAAAGGCACTGACGTCGACTGGCCAGGCTAGGGCTGGATCACGCTGGGCTAACCTGGGCTAGGCTGGACTGCGCTGACTGCGGAGGGCTACTAACCACATTCTATGTGTGACCAATCCCGTCAATCACATGTGTTGGTGCCTCTTGTTTCAGCAGCGCAGTCAACAAGGAAACTTGCGCACAGCGAATCCTCTGCGGATGACTCGGGTCTGGGGGGCAGCTACAACTCCCAGGCAAACAATTGTTGATTGTTTCTATTTGGAGTGAAGGGATGGTCTTCTAAGATCTGCCCTGCTGGCTGCCTGAGAAAGGCTGACAGCGCAGTCCCAGAATACGGAGTATTTGTCTGTCCACTGTTTCCGCTTCCAGAGCATCACGTCTCAATCTACATCATGTCGAGGACTGTCTCAACAGGCTCAATGAAGCCGAGACCCTCTGCTCTTTCCACAAAATCCTTTACTCGTTACGAGCCTCCCGCCTCCTCCTCTTCGACGGGAAGAAATAGAGCTAGCACCATCCAGTCCATCACCTCTCTAAAATCCCCCAAGAAACAGGATGCTTCAGAAGACATCTTTGAAAAGCCTATAAATGAGGAGGACGAACCTCCATCTCCAGATCTTGACCGGGCCAACAGCCTTCCCGATCGGTTTGATGAATTGCCCATAGAATTGGCAAGCTTGACGGACAGATTCATTGAGTCTCTCAGTGCTAAAATATACAATGAACCACCGACAATCGACCAGTTATCAGAGTTATTTCAGGAATTTTATGCTCGAGCATCGGGTGCAATCTCTATCCACATTTCCGCCCTCAAATCACGTCTCAACCGGGACCATTCTCCAAACCCCTCTAAACCCTCCTCACGATCCAGACCTCTGCAGAACAAGCCCTCAAGCGATTCCCTGGCGCCGTTGGACCAAAGGGGAGGCTCTCAGATGTTGACAGCTTCAGAGGTCACGGAAAGACGCAAGCAGAGGAGACTGTTAGAATACAAGAGGATTGTCCTAGAAGAGGCAGTAGAGAAAAGAGTCTGCGAGAAGGTCTATGACAAGATATGGAGACATAAAAGTACTCTGGATGAGGTCAGAGACGAGAAGCTGAGATCAAAAACGGCAGCATTGGCACTGGTAGGGATAGGTCTGAAAGATTTGGGCATTGAATGGAGTGAAGACACCGAAAAGTCGGTCGAAGACGTTCAAGCCTCACTGGCTCCTGCGCGAGAGAGCCTGGCTAGGATGAACGAAGAACACTATCCGCTAGGGAAATTACAGCACCTCACCACTGCCCATAAAGCAGTCGTCGATACCTTGTACTCCATCCACCCTTCCTCATCCTCTGCCGACGAAATCTTGCCAACTCTGATCTATGCCTTGATCACGTCCCCGGTTGAGGGGATCAACATTATCAGCAATCTTTACTTCATCCAGCGATTCAGAGCGGCACCTAAGATCGATGGCGAGGCCGCCTATTGCCTCACCAACCTGGAAGCTGCAATTACCTTTCTGGAGGATGTCGATCTCGCGAGTCTGAGGGCAGATGAAATGCCAGAAGGACCGAAGAAGGCCCCGTCCCAATTAGAAGGGAGTGTGGCCTCAGATAAGCTTGAAGCCTTTCCTCTGTTGCCAGAATCCGTCCCTGCACCGTTGACTGCCACAACAGCCACCTCAACGTCTAACGCTACGGGCACGACAATCGAAACAAGTCAAGCTTCCTCAATCATCAGATCCACTCCCGAAAAGCCCACGCCTGCTCCCGTAACCCGACACCAGCGTACACTCTCGGACCTTCTGCAGCCCATAAGCAGCGCGAACGAGGCCGTTCGCTCCACAGCAGAAGAAGGCTTCAAAAACATATCGAATACCCTAGATAACAGCTTTAAATTTCTCCTTGGCAAGTTGAAGGAACGAGGCAATGAAGGACCCAACACTGAAATCATTCTCCCCAAGACGCTAGACGAAGCGAGGCAACTTGTCAGTCGACCTTTGACACCAGACGAAGATGACCATGCTCTCAGCGAATCAAGTTCCTTACATGATGGGCAGAGTAGCCCTATGCCATCCAATCTGACGAAGACCGAAGAAAAGTTACTAGGCTTATTAGGGGGACGAAAAGCAGCGGACCGAGAGCGAAGTGTTGACAGCATTAAGAGCAATGGAAGCGGCACCGGGAAAAGACTAGGCTTTCTTTCAGGGAACACAAGTTCGCCTCCGAATGGTCCTGCTGCAGCGACAAGCGGGTCTGCACAAAAGCCAATGCCACCAGCGACGCAACCGACGCAACCGACGACCAGCAACCCGCTGGAAACGGTAAAGAATTTCGGTAATAGTCTCAATCCCATGAGCCACATAGGTTCTGCGTTTGGCGGTGCGTTTGGAATTGGACGGTTTGGTGGCAGGTCGCCCGCTGCATCAGCTTCTCCACCGGCCGCACAGACTCCTTCTACGCCAACGATAGTTGTGGCCCAGGGAAACAAGAAAGATTCGGCTGAGGAAAAGAATAAGCTCATACACGAGGCCCTCCTGCGGTCGCCAGATAATAACGAATTGGTGGCTATTAAGGCCGTGCCTCCCATCTCACGATTCATGAAAATGGCTGATGCAAAGGAGTTGAAGCTTGGCGAGGTGCAGGAATTACTTGCAGATTACCAGCGACTGGCGAAAGTGCTGGGGAAGCTGGTGGTCAAGGCGCAGGACGAGGCCGAGATGGAGGTGGGCGAGGCAAGTGACACTGCAGAAGCTGGGAGACATGCAACCACAAGCGAGAAAAGCAAGTCTTGACGGCTATCATGGTTACAACCATTGTTTATTTCACATGAACTTTGGGAAGCCAACACCAAGCGACTCAGAGAAGGTCTCCAGGAGCGACCGGTGTGTGGTGCACCGCAACAAGGTCCGGAACATTCTGTCGGTGATCCAAGTCTCAACTTTCCTAGCGAAATATCGCGGCGCTTTGCCGAATTGGCATGATTTTACTGGCTCTGCCGCCCTCAATACCGCCATGGGAGCAGAAGTCTCTGAGATTTGAGCTCAAAAAATCTCCGCTGGATGTCTTTGCTGACAGAGCAGTGCCTACTCTTCATAGAACGTGACAGGTGATAGCGAACTACGGTTCTAGGCCTGGGAGATGAGATGCATTCAGTCGGTAACATACCCTCTGAGAAACCAGCTACGAATCCAAGTCGATTCGGGTCAAGCCAAGTGACTTTTTGATTTGCTTGTGGTTCGATGCTGGTCGAACCACCAGGCTTTGAAAGATGAAGCCAAAGGTAGAGCAGGTACCTATGGACCTGATGGCTTCCCGGTCAATTACCCGGCGGATGATACCCCGACAGATATATCAGAAAGTGTATCGGGGGTCAACGGGCTCCAGAAGAAGAATCTAAGCCAAGTTTCAAAGTCTTTTGTAGCCGCCTGTCTTGGTTCACTCGTTATGGTTATGTTCTCCGGTATCACTCGCTCCCCAGACACATATCCGTAGAGCTAAATTAGATTAAACTACTACTATTACCATTCCTACAAAGGGGCAATCGCATCAGGACGAAGTTACCTCCCTACTACATTGGTACCTATGTATGTACCTACTCACCTACACTCGCGCCTCGAGGCCGTCCGGGAAGTAACAACAGATAAGAACCCACAAGCATAGCGAGAATGATGGGCCCCGTTCTCCGAGCCGCTGCTCTGGCGGCCATCGCTCGCTCGCGCTCCCTCCCTTGGTGAGTCAATCGTTTCAGATCCAGACCCTTCTGTTCGATTTTGTGGCTGTGATCTGGACGATTGCCTCTCTTTGTAGTGTTCGTTCTCTTTCTCTTTTCCTTTCTTCCCCTCCTTCCCCGCCAGTAGTTGGTCAGAGAGGTCTGAACTGTATGTGGCTGCCCCCTTAGGGAGGGGGGTAGGTTTGTGTGTAGGTCCCGTATATCCGTGGGTATGTATGTCGTGAAATCATCGAGTCGTTGAGTTGAGCACGCCTCCGCCTTTTCCTTTCTTTCTTTTCGTCATGACATCGTGGTAATATTTCGATGGTGGGAGTGGCCGCTTGCTTCATCGCTTGATCAAGTCCAGATCTAACGCCATCCAGTGAAACCTCTTTTCGTTGTACAATTTCGTCTCCGCTTGCTGGAAACAACAAAGACGACAAGAACGGCACAGGAAATTTCACTTTGCGGGTGATTTCCCCCTAATCAGTTCTCCGCCCCCCTTCTTGAGTCCAGCTAACTCCTGGTCCACATCTCCCCTTTTCATCTCCACCTGCCTCTCCCTCTTCTTCACTTCCAACTCAAACTTCAGAGCGATTTTCCTCCTCTCCAACCGCACGGCCATCAGCTTCTGCATATTGACCTTGAATTTTTCTACAAACCATTCTGCCGTCTGCTCCCGCTCGGCGTCGGTGAGGGATTTGAAGAGGTGACGTTGGTCTTCGACACGCATTTTAGTTAGGTTCGTGAGTTTGGCGGAGAGGCTCATTGGTGAGCCATTTGCGTCAAGGGCAGGCTCTGATGCGCCCGATCGGGGGTCGGCCGTAAAAGGGATTGCGTCAAGGTCCGCCATGGTCTGGGTATTGAGGACTTCTGGGTCAAAGTCGAGGTCTAAATCTGGAGGATGACGTTTAGAGACTAGCCGCGGAGAGTTTGAGGCATGTCTTGCTTGAGGTTGCTCTTCATCAGAAGATGATTCGTGGAGAGAAGACATCTTGGAAGAAAAGGCTGGCGGATGAACCAGTGATGCATGTGGCTGAGGCAGTTGGATAGTAGGATGAAGATTGTCCGGGAGTTCCGTTTCAGCGTCTGCCTCAGGGGACTTGTAAACATTGAAGCGGTTGATTTGCTGCCGGCTCAAAGGCTCGACCACGACAGCCGATGCAGCGTCACCGAGAGACTTCCTGTGGTTTGGCAAAAGGCGAGTCGTCGGTTCTTCAGGCCTGGTTCCCTTCTTTAGTTTCTCTTTGCCAGGATTAGGCCTATCCTTAAGCCCAGGAGCCATTCGAATGCGTGAGGGCGTGTTCTGTGCAATAGACGTTCCTTCTTCGATGTCACCGTCCTGTTCGGACTCTTCCTCCTGGTCATCTTTCCGACAGTTCGACGGACCAATATTGTGAGCGAACCGTGTGCCATGCACTGCATCGAAGCCCTGCCTGAGTCTTTCAGCGTCCACTCGAGCTTGCCAATCTGGAGGCAGTGCTGAAGCCTTCTCGTGTTTCCCAAATACAAATTTTGAGCCTTCAAAAGGACTGAGAGGAGGGTAGAAAGGAGGATCGTCGTTCCAGATAGGTGGTATGTTCCCACCATGGTGAAAGCTGAAGGAGGGCTTCGAGCGCCCACTCTTCTCTTCGGCCAAACTCATCGAATCATCAAAATGGATGCTTTGAGTATCGTCGAAGGTCTGGAAGTGAGTCAGCCGGTGAAACCATTCTTGGAAGACAAGATATACACACACTGTGACGGTGTCCAATAGTTGGTGCAGGGCGAGAAGATATGCTTTGCTGAACCACCGCTGGCTCTTGGGCAGCACCATGTCCTGCTGGTTGAGGAAGCCTTGAACTCGAATTCGTCAGTGTATTGGGGACTTCTAACTTCAGCTTTGCGGCTTCTCGGCGACTGATGACTTCGTTGTTATCTTTGGTGTGACTTGAATGCTGGAGTTTGCGACGAGCTTCATCTTGACGGTGTTGCGATCGTTCGCGTCCAGAATTCGGCTGCGGTGTCAATGATCGCTTCTCCGGGCGGGCTTGATGGGCAACAGATTCACGATTTTGAACATATTGCTTAGCATTCATCTTGTCGTTGGTAAGAGGCATCTCGCATTGCCAGAGAGTCAATTCCACAGTATAACGAAGTCACAGATAAGAGTATTGGAGTGGGTTTGTGGCTCAGAGCCCAAGTCAAGCCTGTGATCCAAAGTACAGTAGGAACCGTCACCAAAATCATGGTCTCTAGCAATCGCGTCAGGAACGCGAAAACACGTGCCCCGCATGTGATCTACACTAGCGACACATACTTCATTCGATCTACTTGTGGTGCTTGTACGGAGTAGTCAAAGAATTTTGTGCCACACAGGCCGTATATAATAGTACTTCGAAATCCAGACTAGATGTCAAATTTGATGGATCATAGCGTCGTCATCACCGTCCTCGTCGTCCTCGTCAATGAATGTGACCAAGTTCATCAGTTACTTCACTTTCTTCTCCGAGACAGTTCTTGCAGGAGCCCTTCCACACGATCAAGTGCAAACGCCGAGGGAAGGTAATCAGGTTGAGCCGGAAGAAGAACCTGAAGCGGAGGCTCCTCCGGAACCTGGACTTGGCCCCGAGCTAGAATGCGACCGGGTGGCTTTCTTTCTCCTGCCCTCTTCATTACCGCCGTCCACTCCATCATTCTCCTCCCCTCCAAAAGCATCCTGGTGGCCTCTTCTCTTGGGTCGTCTCCAGGGCGTCAGCGTCGGTGCTCTCTTCCAGAGGACTTCATCATCACTGCTGCCCAATTCCTCGTCTTTCTTCGTCCCGCTTGACTCACCAGAAGACCCAGCAAATGGGCGATGCGCACTGCCCAAGAAGCCATTGTACAACTCATTCGCTTGCGGATCAACGTCAGCTTGGGGATCCCAGATAGGCAGACCGTCTGGCGGTAATGCCTCCGGAGCCGCCTTGCCCCGAGCATATTGCGCGAGAGAGCCGTTGATACCAGTGAGTGACCAAGCAAAGACCGCAACTTCGCGGATGGCAGCCATGAACCCTGAGTCTGGCGCGTCCGCGGATGGGAAAGAAGTAGAGGGAGCCATGGCAGCATGCTGTACCGCACGAGGCATAACTGGCTCCGGCGCCCAGGGTGATGCAAATAGTCCGTTAGCATAATAGGGAGCCTCTGTCGCCCCAAGTGTATGAGGGACCAACGCTTTTGCGCGGCGAAGGATGACAACAAGTCCGTCTGAAGTGCAGGAAACCACAGCTTCAAGCTCCAATCGTTCGCCACTGAGGTTTCCAGGTCTGTCCTGCAACGGAGGTGGTGTGTTGGAAGCTTCCAGGTCAGATGCTGTCTCGCGCACGTTGAATGCGAGACCCGTGCTCGTGTCGGATGCAGGAGGGTGGTTGGTGAGGTTTGCGCCCGTGGGAGGTGCAAGACTGACGTGATCCTGGCTGGTTTCTGGGACATTCTGCACATCAATTTGAGGCCGCTGTAGAGCCTCAGTGGACTGAGAAGTGGAGGTTTGTGCAGGAGCATTCGACGTCTGGCGATCAGTGACAAGCGCAGCATCTTCGGTTTGGCGAGGAGTTGAAGCATTCGCCATCGAGGCGCTAGAACCAGAACGGGTGCTGGGCCTCAAAGGAACACCACCTTCGTCGTCTTCATCGCTCTCGTCACCAACAGACTCAGCATCAGCCCTGTTATCCACTTGCAGAGGGTTCTGGTACCAAAACCTCAAGTAGGCGATGGAATCGTTGGCTTTGGCGCTTTCGATACATTTGACGCCGTCTTGAAGACAACTCTGGTCGATACAGTGGTAGAAGCTCTTTCCAATTAGTTCTGATGGCTGAAGACCCAGAATGGTGGTGATACTATTCGTGGCGAACATGACAGTCGAGGTCCGTGAGAAGCGGTTGAGGAAGAGTGCTGCCCGCGGCTCTGGAGAATGAGCAGCAGGTTCCTCGTAGAATTTGTTGGACAGATATGACAACATGTGGTATCTAGGATCCCGAGGGGAAGAGGAGAAGATTCGCCGGATGCCGGCTCCATCCAGCGCCCTCTCTGATTGAGTCAGTTACAGTGACTTGCATTGAGAAGAAG